CCCGCATCGGGCTCCCTGCTCAGAGGGAAGCCTGCTTCTCCCTCTCCCACTCCCCCTACTTGTGTTCCCTCTCTCACTGTGTCTCTTTCTGTCAAATAAATAAAATCTTTAAAAAGAAAAAAGAAAAGAAACATTATTTGTAAATATTTTCTTTAATTCTATGGGTTGTCTTTTTACTTTCTTGATGGTATCATTTTCAGCATAGAATTTTGATTTATTTTTTCTTTTGTCTCTTGCACTTTTGGTGTCGTATCTAAGAAACATGCCTGCCTAAGGTTATAAAGACTTTTGCTCCTGTGTTTTCTTCTAAGAGTCTTACACTTCCTATGATTTGTTTTAAGTTAATTTTTATATATGGTGTGAGAGGAGGTTCCAACTTCATTCTTTTGCATGTGGATATCCAGTTGTCCCAGCACCATTTATTGAAAAGATATTCTTTCTCACTGGGTATATTTTGCTTTTATTTTTACTAGTTTCATTAGGGTACTCTTTTTTCAGGGTATGTGGACACCTTAGCTGGCTACAGGTGGTAAAGATTTTTAGACTCCAACAGTGATGTTCCTCAGATGCAGATGCACAGTAGATGGAGAACATTTATGCCATCTGGTGGACAACAGATTAAAATACAAGATAGTCCTTTTGGGTCAGGTTGCCCATCTATTTGTACCTATCGTTCTAAGAGAGGTGGTCATCGGTGTACTAAATTGATATTTTAAGAAGTGATTTAAAAATTTTAGCCTTATCTTCTTATGATCTCACTTTGTATGCCAGGAAGATTATTTTTAGCCAAACTATTAGATCTCAGGCAATCATTCTGATCTTGCTGGTTGTACCTTGTGGTCAGCCAGTCTATCCCAGGCACGTCAGACTGTAACCAGCCCACCAGCTCTAGGGAGTCTTTGTGGAAAACTGAGAATCAGTGATGTCAGGCTCTCATTAATTTGAGGCTTGCCTGAGCTTTATTATTTTATAAAATGAAGCCCTTTGTCAGAATCCCTGCCCCCCCCCTTCTAATCTCCTTTATTTCCTCACTTATTTTGGAATTACCATTCAGTATTTTGCTCCCAGGGAATGATAATAGGACGTACCACCACATTCTGGAGAAGATGGATTCTTTGAGTTATTGTTCAGTTTCCGAGGGAACTGTGAAATTTAAAGGCTTATGTGACACTTAAAAACAGTCCTGAAAGCAACATATTTTGATTGCATTTAGGGCATCAGACAGTCACCTGCGGCTCTCTTCCTGACTTGCCCATCCTTTAACGTTGTTTATGTAGCCTCCTTGACAGCCTTTTAGGGAAGGTAAACCATAAATGAAATATGAATTGACATTGTTGTATTGAAGCTCAATTAACACCTACCTTCTCCCTCCTCCAAACTATGTGAGGATGATTAGAATGCTAAATCAGGTGACACTTTTCACCAAGACGGCAATTTGGTAGATATTTTATAATTGTGTTCTTGTTTACAAACTTGGACAATTGTGGGACATATTTAGTGCTGTAATATAGTAGCTATAGCCCTGGAGTTCACAGCTCAAATCTACGGTTGTTTATTTATTGTTTTCCCTCAAGTTGTTGATCTAAATGAGTTTGACCAGTGTTGAAGTTGACAGAGAAAGGCTTCACCAGATACATTCACAGGATCACTTTGGCTGAGAGTCTAGTCTGCCCTTTACAGGTCTAAAAACTTGGTTTTGTCAGTGAACCTAAATATAACCAGGTCCTTTGGCACAAACTCACAACAGTCAGTTATGAAACTGGACACTAATTTATTAATTTACAATAAGAACTCCAGCTTTTCCAGTATACACTCATCTCTGCTGGTCATGATTCCCTGTTCCTGGAAATATGATACCTAAGAAGTTAATTGACAATTAGAAGGCTGATTGGTAAGCAGGGAATCTGAGGAAATGAAATTAGTAGTCCTGAGGGACATTTCATCAAGGCCGAAACTATATAAGCCTTACATAGTTTCCTGTCCACAAAGAGAATAAGCTATCCCAGTAAATAGAATACTCTTGTCTACTAGATTCAGCATTTCTCTGTTTTTGGACAGGTTGGATAAACTCTGCCAAATTCTTGTTCTTTGGCTCCCCTTTTCTGGACCAATACCCCTATTTTTTTCTTTTCTTTTCTTTTTTTCTTTACTTTTTTCTTTTCTTTCTTTCTTTCTCTTTTCTTTCTTTTCTTCCTTCCTTCCTTCCTTTCTTTCCTTTTTTCTTTCTGAGAGAGAGGGAGGGAGAGTATGAGTGGGGGGAGGGGCAGAGGGAGAGAGAAACTTAAGCAGACCCCCCCACCTGAGCGTGAAGCCTGATGTGGAGCTCCATCTCATGACCCTGAGATCATGACCTGAGCCAAAATCAAGAGTCGGGCACTTAACTGCACCACCCAGGCACCCCAGATGTCCCCTTTTCCATAGGACATTGTTCTTTACATATGTTAACAAAAGGACTAGCTGTGGCCTGTGTTTTTGCTTCCTCGGTTGTTGCCAGTTATGAGACTATATGAGGGTAGATAACTGGCCACATAGAGAGATGTGGCAGTTTCTCATGTCTCTCTGTTTCATATTTCCCATCTCGTCAGCATATCCCCTATGCGAGACTTCACAGTTGCTAGAAGAACCGTATCAGCAAGTTCTGTGGGGAAAAGCTCATCATAGCCAATTATATATTTTGTGTTCCTTTTACATTAAGGTCCACCTATTCATATTAATTCATTAGTTTCAAAATAGTCTCAGAAACTTCAATTATTCCTTCTTAGCTTGCTCTAACCTTTATTCTTTCTTGACAGGATAGTCCATTTGGGCACATTATCTTAGCTCCTAGTCTGTTCTCTTATTCACAAGGTTGGGCAAAGAATAGTTCTGTTTCTTCTGTGTTCTCTAAATTTATCCACAAGCTTTCATCAGCCCCATTGTGGAAAAACATATTTCCTTTCCTACTGATAGTGTCACCCCTTGGAGTTACTCTTCTTTCTAGTAGCACTTTTTAAAAGCAGTATCAATGAAAAAAAAATAGATAGTTTTTGCCCAGGAAACACTAAAGTAGGTTATAATATCTTTGCTTTAGAATGATGGCTTAATTTTTTAGCTTGGGGCTTGGCACTTTCCTATTCTGAAATATATCAGATCCATAATTAATTTCCAGGTATTATAAGCTCTTATTTGCCAAAGCTTAAAAATAATATATGTGCTAGTTTTCATCTTGTTGGATTTTTTTCTCATAGTCTCTCATGCTTTTTTCCCTGATTTTCCTTGCTACCATATTCTCTATGTCACTTTTATCCACAGCTTTGATTGCTTTCTATTTGTAATGTTCCAACTGTAATTTTTTCCCTTTTTATCCTTGGCCCAGATTTGTTTGATTTCTAATTATGTAAAAATGAGCAAGAAAGCAAAACTTACTGCTCTGTGGCTGACTGAAATAGGAAAATAATTTGAGGTTTAGAGAATAATAAGTTTTATTTTTTCTCTCAATTATAAAATTAAGAAAGTTTAGAAAAAATATAGAAAACTAGAAAAAAGCTGGGCGCCTGGGTGGCTCAGTTGGTTAAGCGACTGCCTTCGGCTCAGGTCATGATCCTGGAGTCCCGGGATCGAGTCCCACATCGGGCT